TAGTATATGATTAGAAAGTTAATTATATTTTAAATATGTTAATGATATTTTTATATAATCTTGAGTATCTAAAATGATATTCCCTCCGTCTCATATTATAAGAGAAATTCAATTTTTAAATTCATTGATAATTAATGTATTTGATCTATATAACTAGATATATTAATGAATCTAAAAACTGAATTTCTCTTATAAACATGAGACAAAGGGAGTATTATTGTATATAATATTTTGATTTACAATCTTAACAAAAGATTAATTAAATAGTGGAGTTCATATATTTTTTATATAAAATTATAATTTATTTATATTTATTTAAGTTATTGTTAGATTTGATATAGTTTATTCTTGTTATCAATTCTTTATTTTTTGATGTAGTTCCAGTTTAGATTACTTGATTCGAATATCTATTCACATATTTAGATAGTAAAATTTAGAATACACTTTTAGTTTTAAATAAAGGCATTCAAATTATTCTTTTTTGGGTTGGGATTTAGTGACTTTGGCGCGTCAAAGTCACCGTGATTTGTCTCTATCTTTCACTATGATCCATTCTCTCTCATTTTCCCTCTTTTTTTCACTTTCTCTTTCATCAAAAAATAACCAAAGTTACTAAAAGTCACCAAAGTGAAAGTCACTCAAAGTCACCAAAGTGAAAGTCACTCAATCCTTTTCTTTTTTTTCCTCATTTTTTATATGATTCGAACTCTAAAGCTTTAGATGCCTCAAAAAACCACTTTGATTTTAGAATTTCAAAAATAATCTTACCAATGTCAAAAAAAAAATTATGAGGTTTAAAAGGTAGAAAAAAAAGAAAAGCGATCCATATATCTTCGATTTGGAGCATATCCTAATTAGCAATCAAAATTTCCTAAACTATTAACTTCTTCAAAAATTGATTTATATTTTAAAATATTATGATTCTCGTTGTTTCTTTAGACACCAATTATCTCCTCTTTTATATATATATATATATATATATATATATATATATATATATATATTATATATATATATATATATATTATATATATATATATATATATATATATATATATATATATATATATATATATATATATATATATATATATATATATATATATATATATATATATATATATATATATATATATATACTAGATTCGAATATCTATTCACATATTTAGATAGTAGAATCTAGAATACACTTTTGGTTTCAAATATAGGCATTCAAATCATTCTTTTTTGGATTGGGTTTCGGTGACTTTGGGGCGTCAAAGTCACCGTGATTTGTCTCTATCTCTCACTATGATCCATTCTCTCTCATTTTTTCCCTCCTTTTTTCACTTTCTCTTTTATCAAAAAATAATCAAAGTTACTCAAAGTTACTTAAGTGAAAATCACTCAAAGTCACCTAAGTGAAAGTCACTCAATCATTTTCTTCCTTTTCCTCATTTTTTATATGGTTCGAACTTTAAAACTTTAGATGCCTCAAAAAACAACTTTGACTTTAGAATTTTAATAATATTCTTAACAATGTCAAAAAAATATTATGAGGTTTAAAAGGTAGAAAAAAAGAAAAAGCCATCTATATATCTGCGATTTGGAGCATATCATAATTAGCAATCAAAAGTTCCAAAACTATTAACTTCTTAAAAAATTGATTTATATTTTGAAATGTTATGAATTCTCGTTGTTTCTCGTTATGGGTACCAAGATACATTGTAATTTCTTTTTGGATGACAAAACTATTTTTTTTATTTAAAATTATGTGCATTGTTCTAGGTGATACAATATTGTTATGCATACGTTTTTGCATTCTTGTAAAATATCTACTAGTAGTAAAAAAATCAAAAGTGTCAAAGATAAATAGTATGAAAGTATCTTGATTGTCGGAATACACTTTCTCATAATTTGTCACTTTAATTGAAGCGACTTTGAGAGTTGCCCGTCACACAGTAAAACCTCCAGTCTTCATTCTCACCAGTAGAAAACTCCAGTCAAATCTACACATACATGTTTACCTCCTATCCACCCATCCACCAAAATATCCGTTGGTTTGAGAGTGATCTCCCCTACTATGGATCAGTTAAGAAATTCACAAGCGCTTCTTTTTTCACAGATATCCCTGCACACTTAAATATATCAAATAAGACATCTCTAACAAAGACATGTCAGTATTTGAATTCTGAAAACACCTTGCAATAAATAGTGTGTTCTTCAAATGTATTCAAACACGCCTTGTGGAAAACAGAGAAATCCTCATCAGCAGGAAAAAAGAGAATCATAAGCCGATATTTAAGGATAGTACGATACTCTATCAAGGACGTATGTTGGCCTAGACCTTCAATAAAAATAGCAAGGAGAAAATTTTGAACTTGTGTTATGAAGAAGATGCTCTTCATCTATTTTAGATTAAATTTTGATAAAGACAAAAACTTATCATAGAAGAAAGATTAAAGAAAAAAAATAATTAGAATTAAGTATCAATGTTGCATAAGATTGAAGCGTGAAGATTAAGGTATAATGCCAATATATATATATATATATATATATATATATATATATATATATATATATATATATATATATATATATATATATATATATATATATATATATATATATATATATATATATATATATATATATATATATATATATATATATTCAGAAAATCATTCATCTTTTCATCTTTAATGTTTCAAAATTTCCATGCATCATAAACTTATCATTAAATATCTTTCAAAGGAAAAAAAATCAAGTTTTCAAAAGAAGCAATCGATTGATCCTTTAGATCAATCGATTATCATGAGCAATTCGTTTGAAAGTATGATTTTCGTAAATTTTGACATTTTGAAACCCCCAAAATATTACTTTTTTTTTAAACAACACACTTACTTTGTAAGTTATTGCAAATTGGAACCGTTGCAATTTTAGTATTTTCTAAAACAACACACTGATCAGTAAACTGTGGTAGTTTAAAACCCCTGCAATTTTACTGTTTTTTTAAAACAACATATTATTTTTTTGAAATAAAACTTCTCCAAAATATTGCATCAAATCAAAGAGGTATAATGAGATGTATTTAAGTAAAAATACTTTTTTTTAATTACCTTTTTCATACATTATTTTTCATATAATTCAAACAAGTTTTTTCAAGTGTTCAAATATCCATTACAATAAAACTTTGTGCGTGAACTTTCATATCATTGAATACATTTTGGTCAAATTATTGAGCACTTAAGGTTCATATATTTATTTGAATTGCACATTAAAAGAGAAAATTATTTTCATCTTGGAATTCAATTGAAGAAATAACTTTGTTCATTTCTATACAAGTGTGTATATTACTTTTCATTATAGTGTGTTGGTGAAAGATATTTGTAAATAGGAAGTAGTGTATTTTTTATTTTATGAAAAATTCATTTGAATGGGGTGATTCAAAATTTATCATAATTGTTGGTGTTTTTTTTTTAAATCAAAGAAGTGATGTGCTTCTTTGTTATTCTTAGAAGATTGTAGGAGAAGTCTTGATGTGAGTCTTGTACAAAGATCTAACAATAGTGAAAATCTCTTACGAGGGTGTGAGGAGACTAGATGTACTCTTGATTGATAAGGAAAAATAGTATATATCATTGTGTTCTTTATTTTTCTACATTTAAATTCTACACTTTACTTCTTAAATTCATCAACATATTTCTAGAAATATAAAAACATAAAAATATCTCTAAAATAACCGCAAAAGTCTTAAAATCTAATTCACTTCTCTTAGATTGCACTATATACTTACATGTGCTGCTTGCAAATAACTAAAAATTGATTTTTGTCTTTTGTTCATGTTAAACTTTACATTAATGTCCTGAACACTTTTATTAAAAATGACACTTGGCAAAACATGTTGTGCTTTATGAGGGACAATATCCTTTATATTAAAATTGCTAAAGTCAAAAAAAGTTTACAAGATTAATAAGTCCTATAATGAAGTCAATTTCCTATTTCTATTCCGAGTAGTAGATATCTGGCTACGAAACGCTCGGAGTTGCTTCCCAAAAATATAATACAGCCCTCTTCCCCCTTTTGTCAACCCCCAGGCCTCTTATCCATTTGGATTTAATCTTGTCATCAAAATCGAACAATTTATATTGAATCGAACAATTGATATTGGATTTAGGGATAATCAGATTCGAACCGATGACTTCCACCACGTCAAGGTGACACTCTACCGCTGAGTTATACCCCTTCCCTTGGGTTTAGGGATAATCAGATTCAAACCAATGATTTCCACCACGTCAAGGTGACACTCTACCGCTGAGTTATACCCCCTCCCTTGCCCCTATCAAGAAAAAAGACTGCCTAATCCTACGTCAAAAAAATCAACGCGACTAAACACAACTATCCAAAATCATGTCGAAATTAATGTTCATATCATATATCTCATTGTCTCTCAATATATGATAATGTAACTCCTAAAATTAATCCCTAGAATTCACAAACGCATACGAGAGAGCCTCTATTGCCGAGTATAAATCCAACCCCCGACCCTAGTCCATTACTTATATTACTATTTCCCATTCACTATATGCAACTTTTGCAGCAAGTTAACACATAAGTACAAACTCTAGAGGAATCTCTTATTTATTGATGCATCCCACTGCCACAACACATGCACTCAATTCTTGTCCTTGATGCTAAACTTCTCTTTAATATTACCCGTCAGAAACTTACCTATCTATGAAAAATATCTTGTAGTATAAACACAATCCAGAAACCAACCATTCATATAAGTGAATCAAAACGTTATAAAGTAAGCAATATACATAACTTACTCACACAGCAACATAAACTTATAGATAAAATAAAATACATTCATACAGTTTTTCATACCACACTTCTGGCAAATTCAACATAATAAACAATATTACAAACTCCAAGTTTAAAGCAATATTACAAACTAATTAACAAGTACTAGCTAGCCGATTACAAACTAATATTGGTTCCATTAATGAATCTAGTAATCAAGCGAGGCGCAAATCGTCTTTAAAGCCGCCTTCTCCTCCATGATGGTGAGGAATATTCATATGAGAATGGTGTTGACAGAATGCATACAAAGTGGAAGCACCATTGGCCAATGCAACTGCTGATTCCTCCTCTCCTTCATCATGGAAAAGAAATTGTGGATGGATCACACACTTTTCCTTCTTGTTGTTATTCCATTCACAAAAGTGAAACAAAAAAATCATTAAAAATCAGAATATAAAATCAACTTTTTTAGCTTAAGAGAAAAAGTTCTTACTAGTTCAAGAAGGAGGTTTCCATTCATCTGCTCCAAGCTTCTAACCTGCATATTAGTTCATTTGTTTCATCAAATTCACAAGACCAAACACACACAAAAAACCTGGATCATAGATTTGGAGAAGCTAAACTGAAATATTTCTAACCTTTTTCCTACATGTATCAGTCCTAGTTTTGATCACATGAAACTGTGAAACAGAAAGCAAATTAAATTGATATCAAATTTCATAGCTAAGTAGAGTGTTATGAAGCTTCAAATTTCAAGATCCATTAGATTAAATATTATTATTGTTATACCTTCCTATCACGTATTTTGGCAATGGAAGAAACCATATCTTCTTCAAGACTTCTCAGTTGCTGGAAACTCAGATCATCCAATTCCAAACCACCTTCACCTATTCTATGCCTTTTCAAAGATTTTTCATAAATCAAAAGTAGCAAAAACATTAATCAATAGTATATAGCTGCATCAATCATTAACTTACCTGATCTGTCTTCTTAGTTTATTGTTAATATCCTTCAGTTTCTTCAAGTTCTCAAGCATTTTCTACAACCACAAACCACACAAATTCTCACAATATTGAAAACTTCAAAAAATAAAATGAAAAAACAAAGCGCAAAGCACAAAATCTTTACCTCATAGTGAGAACGCCACAGATCAATATCACCCAAAGTCTTCTGATACTGATCAATGATCTTCTTTGTACTGATTCAAAACTCACAAAATATCTTTAAAAAAAAGCTCATATGTATATATAGTTAAAAAAGAGAGTAAATATGATAAACATACGAAAGTCCAGGAGTGATGTATTCATGCATCTTGTTGTTTTTGGAGAACATGATGAGTGAGACCTTAGCATCACAAAGAACACTAAGTTCATGAGCTTTCTTGAATATACCATTCCTTCTCTTTGAGTATGTCACTTGCCTGTTTGTTGGATTCTCAATCAACTTTATCTCTATCTTCCCACGACCCATTTTCAATGTCCTTGTACTTGCTATGTTTCTTCTCTTCCCTTTCCAAAGAGAGAGACTATAGAACTAGATTGCAATGAAAGTTAAGACTAAAGAGAGTTACTATTATTATTATTATTATTATTATCTGAGTCTATAGTTATCAGTAGTAGTACTATATCACTGAGTGGTGTGACTCGTAAATATTATTATAAAAAAGAAGGGTTTCTTAAAATGGAAATGTAGTGTATGCTGAGAAAGGAAAAGTAGGATTGGAATGTAACTGTAAATAGATTCTAAATTGGTGTGAAAGTGAAAGTAGTGTGTGATATGAAGTAAACTCCAACACTGTTATTATTGGACAGCTGCCACAATCTAATTACTTCCTATCTACCTCTATTTATTAGGCCAAGTACACTGTTTACATAAATGTTGTTTTGATTATTGTTTATATGTGTTAGGTTGCACCCTTTGAGGATGCACACAATCATGATTATTAACATTACATGGTGCATGCTTATGTCTAGATAATTATGTTGGTTAAAGTGCTAATCTTGGTTTGCTTGAATTGATTGTGTACTTGAGGTTGAGGGCTATTTGTTTTATTTGTTTGTCGTTACTCATTTACTCAAAGAAACCTAACTACTGTATTGGTTAATTGCCTGCTTTGTTTCAGTTGTGATGATGACAGTCTCCACTGGATGTTTTATTTACTCCAAACATAGTATCATAAAATAACCATCAACAATGTGCTTTTACATGTTACTGAGATTTACTAGTGATGATGACTATTGAATTAGTGTGACTCATTTATCACTAGCGTCTATCTCTCTCTTAGGTAAATGAAGCAAACTCATTATTTAAAGCATTTCTAATGGCGAAACTCAATAAAACACATATTGAGTTTCACACACTACTATAAAAGGTTTCTATAATGTCATTTTATATTTATGCAAGTCATTCATGTTTTGCTCTAATAATAGAAAAACATGCAACTTAAGTAGTTCATACTCTTACTGATAAAATTAACCACTATAAAATGTATGATATGATAGTTTATTTAAAGTCTAATTGTGAACTGATTTTTAGAAGGTTTTTGAAAAAAAGTTTTTGTAGGATATAGTGTTATATCTGTAAAGAATTTGGATAGGACGATGATCATATGTCGCTTTTAGGGAATTACCGCCTCGTCTCTAATGTTTCCCTATCGTCCAGTCATGGAAAACGGGGGATAAGATGTTTATGGGATAGAGATAAATCAGGGTCAGCAGCTGACCTACGACCCCCTTGAAAATATAGATTCAATGGTCCACCATTGATTAAGTGAGTGATAACCTTTTCCAAGAAAACCCTAAGTCCAGAGCGTCTATAAATACCTCTCCTCAAACGAGAGAAATGACATATCCTAATTCACACGCTTCTAAGCACTAAACATATATACAGTTTTTCACCTCACGTGAGTAGGTCGTCTAAACTTCCATAAACACCACGTAAAGGGTTTTTTGATGCGCTGGCAAGCCATAACCGCACAGTTTGTTATACACATACTAAGGTCTCTGAGTGCCTCTCTCTCGCATGGATAACATGCACATCTATACTTTTTGACCAATACATTGACGCCCATCTTGGGACCCTGATAAAATTAACATGGGCCACAACTCTTTCACTTTAACTCCTTTAATCTTCCCATCGAAGATGACTGACAAAACTCTATGCTCTAACAAAAACCGCATAGTCTAAGGTTTTGTTGGTGGAAGTAGCTCTAGCTCCTCTCGAAGGAAATATAAAATGTAGGTGTTTGCAGCAAATGCAATATCTTCTGGTCTCCCCAAAGGCGTGCGAAGGAAAAAAGGAGTTAACATCATATTTTCTAAAGAGGACTCCATTAGAGTCCATCCTCACAATAATGATCCATTGGTCATCATTGTGCAACATGAAAACTGGGATATCAAGCGAGTCTTTATAGATCTTGGTAGCTCCGCTGACGTCCTATTATGGGACGCTTACCAAAGATAGGCACTTCATCTACTGAAGAGGAAAAACATGAGTTGTTCGACTAACTCATTGAGAATTTCGACGTGTTCGCTTGGAATTCCTATGATATGCCGGAGATAGACACCAAAGGGTCGAATCACCGCCTCGCCATCCACCCTTTTTTCAAACCAATGGCAACGAGGAAGCGGAAAGGTGGTGAGAACAAGAGGGCCACCATTGATGAAGAGGTGGGGAAAATATCCAACGCCAGGTTCATCACAGAAATAAAATACCCTACCTAGCGAGCCACTGTGATTCTATTACGGAAAGCTAACAACAAATGATGCATGTGTGTAGACTTCGTGAATCTGAACATTGGTTATCCTAATGACCCGTACCCACTACCAAACATCAAACGCCTTATTGATGGATTCTTAGACTGCCGCATGTTGAGCTTCATAGATGCATACTCAGGGTATAACCAGATTTGGATGGACCCCTCGGACACTACCAATACATCATTTATGTCTAATCATGGCAACCACTACTACAATGACATATACCCTTCACCCTTAAGAATATTGACGCCACCTAGTACCGACTCATGTACGTTGTGTTCATCCACTAGATAAGATGAAACCTAGAGGTCTATGTCGACGACATAATATTGAAAAATATCAAAGGGAATAACCATGCATAATATTTGGAGGATGTCCTACATTCAGTCAAGAAATATGGTATGCATTTGAATCTCGCCAAGTGTTCTTTTGGGGTTCAAACTGAGAATTTCCTAGGGTTCATGCTGATGAGAAGAGGCATTAAGGCCAATCTGGATGAATTCCAAGTATTCATCACCATTAGAAGCCCCACCAATGTCAGGGAAGTGCAACAACTTACAAGTCACCTTACCGTCCTACCTCATGTTCCCTCGTGCTCAGGTGACAAGGCTTTCCTTTTCTCCGTCTCCTTAAAGAAGAAAGAGTTATTTGAATGGACCGACAAATGAGAAAAGGCTTTCTATAAGGTAAAGTCCTTCCTCGCATCTCCCCCTCATCACCACTTTCTCGAGGGAGGAGTCGCCATTAATCGTCTATCTCTCGGTCATATCAGGAGATAATCTTAGTCCAAGTCCATAAGACAGACAAGGCCGAAAAACCCGTGCATTTAGTAAGAAAGGTGTTCAAAGATGTCGAAGCACATTATTAGAAGATTGAGAAGCTATCTTTATCCTCCATCGTCACACTGAGGAAACTGAGACCTTGCTTTCAGGGTCACAAGATCTTTGTGAAGACCAACTATCATGTTCGTAAAGTCTTGATGAAGCTAGATTTGGAAGAAAGGATTGTATCTTGGGCGGTGGAACTCTTGGAATACGACATCCAATACGTCCCTAGGGGAAGCATCAAATCACAAGCTATGGAAAATTTTATGGAAGAATTTAGCTTACCTGTTGTTGTACCCCAAAATCTTCCATATCATTTTATTCAAAACATTCTCCTAGGATTCTCAATTGCTTAATGTTGCTCAAGAATTGATTAGACAAATTCTCCTCCTAAGCAATGAGTCCATAACTAGGGTTTCATATTTTACAAGGAAATTTAGGTTCCTAAGGTTTCAAATGGTCATGGTCTCTTATATGTCCCAAGGAATGCTCACATCAAGTTTCAAGTCTTGCATCACAAGTTTGCTCAGTCAATGGCTCAGATGACTGAAAATCAATTGTATTGGGTAAAAAGTCAAATGTGGTCAACATACAATCAAACCTTAGGATTTTTGGTCAACATCAATATTTTGAAGTCATATTCATCATTTGATCAAGGGTTGATCATGATTCATCAAGATGACTCTCAAATAATCAAAAGTAAAAAATTGCCAAATTAGGGGTTTCCTTAGGAGAATCCAACTGAACTTTGGCCAAGCATAACTTTCACATGCTTCATAATATCTTCCCCAACCAAAGTTTATTTTTAAGAAAATTCAATTCTGTACAACTTTGTCTCTCTAATATCAAGTCCAAAAATGCTTCATTTGAGAGATATGGGATAATACATTATAGGTCATTTCAAAAGTCAACAAAGAAACACTTTTTGTCAAGGCAACTTACATCAAGATAAAGTTTTCAAATGCAAAAAGGATCAACATAGAGATTGTATAGGACATCTTGGGCTTTCCCAAAAGTCAAATATCACTTTCAAAAGATGAAAATTTAAGGAGTTATGACCAGTGCAAGTTGGGAAATTTTTAGCAAATGCATGAAGTTCAAATTGAGTAAACTTGAAATTTTGGGCTATTGTGCTATTGTTTTAAAGACCAAACGTATTTTAAACTTCATATATACCTTAGATATTACTCATGTACCCCTTGATCTTTTGATTTTAATTATTTTGATTTTATTCATTATTAGTTCAAAATAAATAAGATAAAATGCAAGGCTTATTAACAAAGGTCCAAGCCCATGTTATATTGACCTAATTCCATGCTACATATTCTCCTCAAATCAGGCACAAAGGAGAGGAACCCTTATACAAATAAGCTTGTCCAAAATCTCAAAATTTTCAAAGAAATCTAGGGCAACTCGAAACTCTGTTTACAATCCCTTTCACTACAAACTAGCTGTCCCATTCGCTTCCAGGACCATCATAGGGTAAGGTTGGACCGATTGCAATGGTCAAAAGGGGATAAAATCATATAAACATGCCTCGCTGGTTTTATCATTGCATGTTTTTTCATATTTGTTGTTTCATTATGTTTTTACGCAGACTAATGTTATTAACATGTTCATGAGGTAATGATATACAGGAAAAACCTAACATGGGAGTCACATGATGATCTAATCGTGAGTTACCATAACCACCCCGATCTATGATGTTTTTGTTGTAACTCCTAAACCAACACAATTCAGCCCAAACAAATTGGTCAATTGAATTCGCAGGCTCTGATTTAGGGGGGTAGCATCCCCCTGGATCTCAAATACGTGATGATTTTGCAGGAAAAATAAATCTTCTCACTGGAGAAGATGACCAGAGCTAGGGCTCCGGTGTCTCTCTGGT